TCTTCCATTGCCCCACACATGGCACTAGATTAACAGAGGCAACTTGAATGACCACTTCCACTGCCCTACACATAGCAGTACAGTAATATAGACAACTTGAATGACCTCTTCCATTGCCCCGAATATGGCACTAGATTAACAGAGACAACTTGAATGACCACTTCCATTGCTTCACACATAGCACTAGAGTGATAGAGTCAACTTGATTGACCTTTTCTATTGCCCCACACATAGCAGTAGAGTAATAGAGACAACTTGATTAACCCCTTCCATTGCCCCAAACATGGCACTAGATTAACAGAGACAACTTGAATGACCTCTTCCATTGTCCCGCACTAGAGTGATAGAGTCAACTTGATTGATCCCTTCCATTGCCTCACACATAGCTGTAGGTAGGTATGTGCAGTATCAGAATTCCATCAGAATTCATTCCCTAAGTGTACATTAAAGTGTAAATACATCTTAAATTAATTGATGTCCAGCTATTTACATACAAGACTCAACTGGATTCAATAACATTCTAAGCCATGTATTGAGTTTTGCAAACAACTAAATGCATTTAAGTATGTCTTGACTGTACTACAAACGCAAATACCTACCCTAATGAGATCTGATTTATCAGCTAATCCTGCCCAGTACAATAGCAGCAAGTAGACACATATCAGGATCAGTACCGTCAATAGAACTGCATAGTTATCTGACAAATCACTCCAACTTAGGGCTTTGAAATCAATGGTGTTTGGTGGAACAAAGAATGATGAACCAAACGACGTTAAGTGGTTACACATGCATCGGCTGAATTTGGAGTTTGAGATAGCACTCACCTTAAAAAGAAAACAAATGTAATTAGATAATAATACAGATTAAAATGTTTTAGAATATTCAAATCAATTCCTAGTGATTAGACAGAACACAGGGTCTCTTTCTTCTGTCAGAATATATTATCGCTGACAGACTGATCAAAGCAATTGTTCTTTTGATATATATTCCAGTATTTTACGGATTAGTCAAATATATAGTATATCCCATCACCTAAATCCTGCTACTAATACTTAACAGAAACTATGAGTTAACCTCTACTAAAGGCTCCTTTGATTATCAGAATAGAACTGTTAATATTGATTGTCCATAGTATTTTTCTAAATACAGTATATCTTATCAATTGGTAGAGCGTTTATTAGTTGAAGGTTCGAGCTTAATCCATTACTAAGAATATGATTGATTTTCCAGGGACAGCCCTAAAATGATGTAACTTGCAAGATAATTACATATTAAACTTAATGAATAAATATAACTAGACAATGTTCCTGTCCCTGCTATGACTTTGTGAAGAAATATTGTCATTGTTGTTTAAGCAAAACAATGCATACATTTAAAGATATATGCCTAAATGACACATATACAGCTGCTGAAAAATGAGTTATTGCTCTAAAAATTCATTTTCAGCTACCCGAATACTACTAAGAACAGTCAACATGACTTAATCTAACATTCACTTATATACTGAAAACATAACAAAAAAAAGTTGTTTGCGTAAGACTCAGAATAGATAGGTCAAATCATACATGGAGATTAACAACAAGGAGTTGACCCCTACCTCGTATTTAATATGAAGCTCATTGAAAGGCCAACATTCAGTTATTAACAACTAATACTTATGGTATAACAGTTCTTGTGTTCGACTGGTGCTATTGTGTTAGAGAATGTGCACATTCTAGCAAGCAGTTCCGAACAAGGAATACGGAATGTACTCTCAGCAATGATTCAATAACGCCTGCCTGGCACAAACATACATTTAAAATATGTGCATATATTTACTTATTATGCTGTATTTTCCCGTCTAGCGTATCAACGTTTGTTATTATTATTTATTAATCCTTTATTTCAGGCCAAAAAAGTCCCATATTAAATACATAACAAACACGAACACTAATAAATACAACGTCTAAGATTAGTCCAAAATTTGGATAAGAAAAAATTGTCAGAGTTGACACAAGTACGAATTAAAGCTTAAGTAGGCGCTGACTGAAGTTATATAATGCCTTGCGCTGAAGAGATTCAAAGTTGAAAATATTTCTATTTACGCAATCACCACTGGCGCTGCTAGCCCGTTTAAGGCTAAATACCAATCTTATAGCGTTATTATAAGCCACTCGCACAGTATTCACAATTTGTGGACGATAAACACACCAAACATTCAAACAATATATACTGTATAATACGTTCTAAATAACAAACACTTAACGTACTCTGAACTTTTTATAAATTTTCGTAAAAGAAAATTTTCCCTAGCATAAATACACCGCAATTGTCGCTTCATATCAGCTTCATCCTTGCCATCTGATGACACCATATAGCCCAGGTACTTTTTCACTAAGACGAAAACCAGAGGTTTACCAAACAAGTACACGCTTGGGACGCTTGTCTGTCCCCACGTTTTTGGAAAAAATACATGCATTCTGTCTTAGTAGTGTGGAAAAGAATGTCAAAATCCTCACCATAACACTCGTAGATCTCAGCGAGCTTTTTTAATGATTTGACAGAAGGTGAAACTAACAAAATATCATCAGCATAAAAAAGATGATTCATTATTTTACCAGCTAAATGACATCCAACACCCGCTTGTTGCAGCCTAGTACTGAGATCATCAATATACATTGAAAATAACGTCGACGAAAGAATGCTTCCTTGTCGAACTCCATTGGTCACTCAAAAGGACGCAGATATTTCTGAAGCCCATCGGATACAAACAGTTTGACCTCGATACCAATGCAATAGACAACGCACAATGAATACAGTCATTCCCCTATCAAGTAATCTTTTGAATAACTTCCAATGGTTTACCCTGTTGCGTCCATGAAACAAGCAAAAACGGGCGAGTTGTGACTTTTATAAAAGTCGACAATTTCCTTCACTACGAAGATGCACATTTCTGTTGAATGCTTGCGTTTAAACCCAAACTGAAAATCAAAATTTAAAATGCACAACTCAAATAATTTCGATAAAACGGTTACTATGGCAACAGGTCTATAGTATTCACTCTTGTGATATCGTTTGTTCCACGTTGATCAGGAATTCATTGTAAAGGTTTCTGTTAATAATGTATTGGCTTTAATATTGTCACCTTACTAAGGGTGTAGTTGCAGGCAGTATTTAAATATAGGATTATTTTTGTTTAATCTGATCATAAAACTAGAAATATGTATATATCATGATGAAACATATCATAATGAACATATGGAAATATATCAAACAAAGCTAAACATTTAAGAACTGGTTAGGGAATGTTTAAGTATATTGATTTAAAATGTGTATACCTAGAATGACTGCTTGTGCACACGCAACGCTAAATGGCACTAAATGGCACTAACATACATAGATTGAATCCAAAATAATAGAACTAACGACAGCTAATTTAAAAGTAAAGATTCACCTAAAACTAGAATTATGGTCACAATTATTTTTGCACCTGTAATGCAGTTATAACTTCAATATATTTCTACATTTATTGAGCATTGACCATCAAATATGTGAGACTTACGTAGCAACCATCTGAGCTCCACTTTTGGTCTGTTTCACTCCAATACCGGCATCCATATGCAAATTTTGCCAATGTGTAATTATGGGTAATATTACCACTAGTATCATTGAACTCATAATCCAATGGTATAACCCAGGTTGCATCACTGGTCATATTGTCGCCAGACGAAGATGTTGTAAGATTGTTTGTTGCCTGGAATGATGTTGGAGTTGTAAACTGAATGGTTGTGGGTGTAGATGTTGTAGTCGCATTGATGGCAGTGCCATTGTCTTCAATATCAAAACTGTAATTTCCCACTGTGTCCACTTGAGTCTCTATTGTCCCATTATAGGTTTGGTTTAATACTACAAACAAGGATTTATATTTTAGTTTACATATAATCATTTGTTAGCTGTATAAAAAGACATAATTTTTCTAAGATGTATATAATTCAAATAAGGTAATAATTGCGTTCGATCACTGCTGACAACACACCAACAATGGGAGCGAGCCCATACACCTATGCACATTAGTTAGACAGTAGTTTTAAAAGTAATTCCCACTTCAGCATCAATGATAGCAAGTAAGATAATGTGTAAACTAGTCTTATAAACGATATAATCATTTCGGGGAATTACATTTTTCACTAGTGTGAACAATAATTCATTCATTAAAAATAGCAAACCTTACCGATTTCTTGTAATCCGAGAATATAGTTTCCACGATCTATAACATAGTCACTTGGTAAGAAAAATGTGTAGCGTAATTCTTCGATTATATCCAAGTCAAGCTCATCCCATTGTGCTTCAGTCAAGTTCAATTCATGTGGAATAGGAGTCATTAAGTCATAGTCATCGATGCTTGGATGATCTTCAAACTTAATATAAGCATTATACACAACACGTGGGTCAATAGCGCGAATGATAAGGGACATGGAGGTATTCGCTTCTTCCGCTGTTATATTCTGATAAGATAACTCTTCTTCATACTCGGTTCTAAATTCCGCAACTACTACTTCAATGTCTTCAAATGAGTTGAACGTAATTTCATACAGACTTGTAGTATCAGAAACTGGTAGTCCTTCACCCATAGCATCTGTGAACGCAAGACCGAGTACTGAAGAGGTTACGTTGTCAGCAGTGTCATCCCAGGCAAAGAGATTATCTGTCATTTCCGTTACCTAATAAAACAATTTAAAAATGCAGATAGTGTGTCACATAAATGTCTAACATCTTTATGATATATTTCATATTGACAAGATTGTATGTATTTATTGGTTCATCATAAATTCCCAATTTAGTCAGGTTCTTGATTCCAGATAAGACAATAAATCTGTCAAAAAAAACCCTATCGACCAAAGTGGGGAGACAAGTGTACACCAGCGTTATATTGTCAACATTTCAAGTTTGAAATTCAAAGGCATTGTTGAATCATGTCAGGGAAAACGATATTTGTGGATGTTGTTATTGATTTCACAATCACTGAACATTTTACCAATAGTTACATTTGTTATTGTTGGTTTTGACATTTTCGCTTCCAGTGCGTTTAGACTGTTGCTAACAATTACACTGGTATTATTGTATTAATAAATTGTATGAAACATAACTTTTAACGATCTTAACATATACCGCTATATTTAAGAGTTGGGATGGGATGCGAAATTTTACAAAACTTACCTCTACATTCAAATATCCTTCTTCTGTAGTTGGTAAACTATCCAATTTTGGGAGACTAAATGTACCACTATTTGTGTTGAAACTTTGGTTGGCCATCTGTAGTGGTGTAGATCTCATGGCTTGAATGAGGAGTGTATCCGATCCTAAGAAAACTTGTTCCTGTCCAACAAGTCTGTCAGCAATGGATAGCATAGCAGCCTTATGTGCAACTTCTAGAGCATGGTTTGTTACACTTGATACCTGTAGACGACAGTGAAGAGACGGAAAAACAATGCAATTCAAATTCACCAGGCAGCTAAACTGATCGTATATAGATCTCAGGACAAATCATGAGTTTTCTGACGCATAAACTACACACACAAATATATAATATAACGAGTAACCTTGTTTCACCTTTGATGAGCCCAAATATTCCCTTTCAATGCAGTTTTATCTAATTTGTATAAATAAGAACCAGCCATCTACAATTTGACATTAACTACATACTTATGGGGGTATATTTTAGATTTTATAACCTATACAATAAGTGTTAGTTGGTACACACTACATATATATTAGATGGCGTCACCAAAACGTAGTTGAAAGTGCATTCTGTTTTGTGTGAATAAGACAAAACAAAAATCCGAAAGTTTTGGAGATTTGGCATATAGCTCCGTATATCGACTAAATTACTATTACTAAACAAGTCATTGTCAATGACACGTCCCCGTTCCGTTCATATTTGAGTGACATATACATTCAAAGTAGATCATGACCGAAATCTCAGACCACTTTCAGTGGTCTGATCCGAAATGCACCTGCATATGTACAACACATTGTATGATGTGTGTGAAGTGTGGTCTTGATCTGTCCAGGCATGTCGGAGATATGGATCGAAAACTAAATTATTTAAAACAAAATGGCCGCCAGTCGGCCATTTTGAACTTGATCCAATGAAAAATTGGTGTGCATCAAGCTTATATTATGTTTAATATATGCACTAAATCTGAACAAAATCCACATGCATGACTAAGATCCGGTTTCGGAATTGTGAAAATACGTGATTTTGATGCATTTTCGGCCTTAAAATGGCCGCTATTCGGCTATCGTTAATCGGATCATGAAAAAATGCATGTGCATATGTCCCATATAATGTGTGATGTATGAGTGAAGTTTGAACTTAATCGGTCCATGCATGTTCGAGATACAGGTGATCACGGACGCACGGACGCACACAGGGCAAACCATAAGTCCCCGTTTTCGGACTACGTCCGAACGGAGACTAATTACTGTTAGAATTAGGCTACTTGCGTGCGCAAAAGACAACTGCCCAACGAATTGTTTGACGCAGATACTATCGTAGTATAAAATAGTTGTATAATTCAAAAGGCTGCTTAATAGTCAAACAAGAAACAACACAATAGCCTGACGTGTAACACAGATTAATCTTAATGGAAATATTTATTTTGCAGTGTAGTCAATCTCCCCATCGTCGAACAGAGAATGTCGCGAGCGATACAGTGTTGTGATGACAAGCTAAAATGCTGAAAACAACTAAATCGGCGATGTTTGGTTACTGGAAGGGCAAGGCGTAACGGCGTATATTTTATCGTAGCTGTTGTATGTATTACTGACAATATAACTTAAAGGGATTGTTTAAGCTATGATACGTACTGCTGCCCTTTCTTCCTCCTTATATGTTTCACCTTTTTCTGCTTCCATCTCTCCAGGGGGTGTATCACCGTCATTTTGGGGCTCAGCAAACGTACTCTTACTATTACTGTATTGTTGTGAACCGGATTTCAAAATATTGCCAAGACCGAGCACCAAGTCTGGAATAGAGCATCAAACATTGTAGTAAATTGCAAATATCATAGCAGGATCATAATGTGATAAGGATATTGATTCCTACCTTTGGCTGCTGATATATCTTGATCAGATGAGGATGTGATTGACATCATTTTCTCGGTTACAGTATCCAAAGAATTTACAGCAAGCTTCTATACAAGACAATAAAAACACAGTTCTAGTTTATTCGCCTATATCGATATATCAAAATATTGTACACGTGGGCATATTTCATTAGCCCAATTAAACTGTATTTATTTGCAAATCTGTATAGAGTTGCATTCTTGAATTCACATAATATCACATAACAATTAAATTTAACAAGTTATTTAAAATAGCACAGTCTCGTTAGTTCATTTCATAGTGATCTAATAAGAGCTAAAGATCAGACATTCAAAGAAAATGGGCGAATTACGTTTAAAGGAAACATGCAGTTGCAGACGGTAGCAGCAACATATTTATATGTGTCAACTGAATTGTAGTTAGTACGATGATATACATTCGTATTGTTACAGTTCTTAGTGGTATGAAAAAAAACATGCATAAATATATTTTATATCATGACTGATACTCACAAGACATACATAATACAAACTGGAAGCAATTTATTTGTTATAGAGACAGAGGGCTGGAACCGCGTTTGATAATAAAAAATGGCCACCAGTCAACCATTTTAAAACTATTCCAAAAAAACATGATATGCACCAAGTTCACATTATGTTCAATATTGATGCATGAGCAAGATTCGTTTCCGAAAAGACAGAAGAGCTTGATTTAGAAAATTTGCATTACAATATTCGCCATTCGATTGCTTGCATGTGCATATGTATGTGTGTGTGTGTGTGTGTGTGTGTGTGTGTGTGTGTGTGTGTGTGTGTGTGTGTGTGTGTGTGTGTGTGTGTGTGTGTGTGTACTTGGATTACTATATGTTGCGAGGACTTTGCATGGTCAAACGACCTTTATTGCGAGGACCTAGGGAGACTTCCGAGGACGTTTTGACTGTCCTCGGAAAACACCCTTTAAAAACGAAAGA